CAAGTCCACTGTCAGATGCTGGGAATCATGACAACTACTGTGGCAGACGACTTCGGACTAGGTGCGTTTTATATAGTCACCCTGACAGCAAGACCAAGCTACGACAATGAGCTCAACCGACTTCATTAATCTTCATTCCGTAGCAATCCCCCTTTCGGTTCCTTTTGAGACCAATCACGAAGCCGCTCCAACCAACTTTCCCTTCGAAATGGAAAGTTGACTCACCATGGGCTCTATGTAATCGGCCATTTTCGGTTGTCGACCTCATGAATTACGTCTTTTATTTAGATCTATTCATATTTTAGATTTGTTATCTTTCCTTCCCTCATCTCTCGCCTTTTCTCCCCAGTATTCTTTTTCTCTCTGGCAGTTATCTTCATTCACCGACCTTCCCTGTATTCTTTAGTCCTGCCAGTCAGCCTTTTATTCACCCTTGAAAATCTCAAAATATGTACCCGGACTTCGTGTCACTGTAGAATACCTGCCCATATATAGAGGAACTAGGAAACGACTCGTGAAGTATCACTCGTATAGAAGAAAAATTACAGATGAGGATTCCAGGTGGGAGAGGAAAGTCGATGACGAAATGTGTAACTAGTGCAATGGGACCGTGTTTGCTCATGGAGAGTCAATTAGCTACGACGGCCAAATGGAGAGGCCGAGAAGCCGCCCAGGTCTTAGGAGTTTCTGGCCTAAATTACTGTTGTGTAGTTATAATGTTACGTTTTGATTGGTTCAATGAAGAGGCTCGATGCGATGACTAGTTCGCTTAGTCCCTGTGAAACAGTACCAATGAGTCATGCTCCACGTAATGTGTGATAACGGCTTGCGACTAGGGTTGTGACAAAACTGACTGCTGAGTAGAGGTGACCTTTTTACTTCATAAAAGCATACGCCTCTACGACCATGGCTTGTGTATTTGTGATATTCGTCTTGGCTTTTATGACCATGTCTTGATGGCTAAATGAAGATCGTCCTCTTATACATCGATTCATTACTTCTTACACAAATTTGCTTGTACACCCTCACGCCCACACTCGGGCCTTATGGGACACAGACTAAATTAAATGCTCAAACAACTTTACCTTTCTCCATTACCCATATTACAACAGTGATTCACTTCGTATTGGTGTCAGCCTCACCAAGATCCAACCTTCTGATTGCCGCTTTGTTTATCCATGTAGATCTCTAACAGATACAAACACACAAATAATCATTACATTTTCCATCTATCTTTGTTCAGCCCCTTGGTTTTTTTTCACGATGCTACCTCATACTTTGCCGGCTTTATCGCGCGATGGCCTTCATCCCATCGGTTTCGTCGGCTCCGGTTGGACAGCGCCTACAGATCGTGCTTCCTCTGCAGCCAGCACAATACTCCCCACAGCTCCTTTACCCGCCTCTTATCACGCCTATCCCTACAGTAAGCCGACTAGACCAATCTCATCAACACCGCACGACACTTCGATTGGGTTTGCCCCTGGGGTCCTTCCATCAGCATCCTCACCATCTTATCCCTCCAGGTCGTTAGTCTCTTCTGAATACAGCGACACGTCTGCCTACATGCCTGGCATGGCGACAGACAAATCCCAGCTCAGTGCCCATTCAGGCCTGACAAACGGGCCGTCAGAATCGGATAAACATTCGATCGGGTTCCGCCACTTGGCGCAGCCCTGTGCTGCTGCCGGACATCCCAGCCGGCCTGCTAAGGCGCCACTGGCGCGTCTCAGCGACGATTTGTCCGGCCTACAGACATCTCCTTTGTCTTCGGCTGAGGCTAGGCGCGGCTTTGGTTTTCATGACCACTCTACGAATGAATCGACATCTCGTGCTCAGGATGTTACTGCTTACTCTGACGCGTCTTCCTTGACCAGGTTGGATGGACAGCAGGTCAGCAAGCGGAGTACAGCTGCGGCTTCCTTGGCTTGTACCGAGGACTGTGTGATGGTGCCTGCAGAGTTAGCAGCTAGTTCCAAGGGTGAGTTTTTAGTCAGCAAATTTTTCCTTGTATCTGCTAATCTCCATTCTATTACCGGGAATTCCGTAAGGCTAAATCTTTCGATGCAAAGAATGGAGAATTATGAGCTGAACAGTAATTTAATTAATGACAGCCTATTCACATTCTATATCCCATCATCATTCTGTTTTATATTTTCATCTAATCAACCCAAGAATCCGTTTCTGTATCTATTGGCGTCTTGAAAAATGCCATGATTTCTGATATTTCTTTTTAAATTCTTCATGTTGCTAAGGCTATTGGTCTTGATCGCATAGCTTAATAACGATGCGTCCAGCTAACTCTTATATGTATGCAATTCATAATTTTTAAAAATATTGTCTAAATTGACCTTGGTTCTATGCAATGGTCAGGCTCTAAAGTTTAACCAGAAACGAGAAGGTTTTTACATTGTTTCTTAAACCCACCTCGATCTGGAGAGGTGTTGCTAACTTCTTTTGCACCCTACCCACTTCCGTTATATTTGGCCTTACATCTTTCCAGTTAAATTTTGGGCTATATTTTTGTTACTTGCCAGCCAGTTCCCCAGATTTAAGTAGTTGAGCAGTCTGAATGCAGCAGCTTATCCAAGCCACCCCAACTTGACTTCTCGCATTTTGTTTCGTTCAATATCTTTATTACAATCAGCACACTTACACACATAAACATGCATACATACATGCATTAATCACTGTTATCAATTATAAGGCAGGCTAAACATTTCTTTGCGTTTGTCCCCGGCTTG